GTCCAGGCCTCTTTTGAAATGATTGCCCTGTATCTGTACAATACATGGTTGACTTCTCACATGTCAATATGTGTACTGGAACTTGTTATTTGCATCCAATAAGAGAAATTCAGGAACATGTTATCCATGCTTTGAGGCAGAAGGCTCTCATCGTGTTTTGAAAGAACCAAAACCTGTCCTTCCCGCCTAACTTAAAACACTACTGTTTTCTTACATGTACAGAACATACATGCCGTAATGGGTGGAGCGGATACGACAACCACTGCTACAAGTTCTTCAGAAAAAGAGTCAAGTGGTCCAAAGCGGACAAAAGGTGCAAAGAAGTCGGTGCAAATCTCGCTTCGGTCACAAGCGCTGAAGAGAACAGCTTCATAGCAGATCTCGTCCAGAATGGTGAGTGATAAAATTTCTTCAATTTCACAGACATGACCTGTTGTCCTTTCCTAGAGGGATTAAGCTTTAGGCCATGTTGATTTGATTATATGGATGACATCCGCGCGCGCATGGATTTTCGGCCGTTTCCAAAAAAAAAAGTTTTCAACCATACTGTAAATCGTACAAAACAGTTGCAAAATGAGCAAAAATATACCATAAGTTACAAAAAAAAATTAATAAAAACTATACCAATGTCGTAGAATGCCAAAATCAAACGAAAAAAGACGAAATTGTAAAGAAATGAACTTGACGACTAGATTATTCGCCAAACCATATTCTGTGCCATTTGCTCAAGAACTTTTTTTGGGGGCAAAACTTTTTTTTTATTCGCACGCGTCAGTTTTGGGGCTCCCGGAGGATGTCATCCATATAATCAAATCAACATGGCCTTATGATAAGAACTGAATTCACGATTGTTCTGTATTTTGTCAACTTGGTTTTAATATATACATGTTATGCTTTTAACCGTATTCTTTAAAGTTGAGGGCTCTTTGTTCTTTTACTGCATTTTATATTATCTTTGTAACTTTCAACAAATTTCATGTTTCAATTTTTGTGTACATGCTAATTGAATTACTGAATTGAACTGATACCTTGCCAGATGACATTTAAAAGAACCTTAAATGCTGTGAAGACATGTTCCTTTGAAAAGTCTGCTAGTCAGACTACAGAAATGTTCTAAATAAGGCCACACCAAGTAAATTTTATGGATGACATCCGCGCGCGCATTGATTTCGGCCTGTTCCTAGAAAAAAAACAAGAAATTCCACTTCCTGTAACTATGACCAAAGAGTCACGACAGTGCCGCAAATAGGTTTGTACGGACCAAAGCTTATGAAGCATCAAGCAAGGAAATCATGACTTCCATTAGGAATTCAGTTTGGTACATGCTGCCACATTTGAAGAAACTTGCTGACCGCTCCATCTATGTCCCCAAAGCACAAGACGACAACTGCTGTTACATCTGATTTATTGCTGTTTTGATTACGGAAGACTTCTTGCTTGTTACACTGTGTCACCTCATTCAAATTGTGCCCTAACATTTGTCGTCTATTAGTATATTTCTTATCTAGGCATCTTGTTTTTTAGGGCCCTTCTTGTTTTTTTTTTCGCCCTCTCGCATTAGATTTAGGGTCTCCAAAGGACGTCATCCATAAAATTTACTTGGTGTGGCCTAAACATGAAAACACAATTCAAAGAGAAAATACATTGTATGTACATGTACCCTGACAACCAAAATTGAGGGAATACAAAATCTGATGGATTAATTTGTTCAAGCCCGCTGGTAACAAATTGTGAATTTTTGTTCATTCTAGCCCCTAAAAGGATTACACGACATCTCGTCTGGTTTGGACTGAGAAAACCAAAGAAACAATGGCAGTGGACGGATGGTTCACCACTTTTCTACACAAACTGGGCTCGGGGTGAGCCTGGCAAGAACTTCCTGTCCAAGCCTTCCAAATGTGGTAATATGTACAGCAAGGTAACTATGTAGTGTATTTCTGTATTTTCTTCCATTCATTCCGTAAACCTAACTAGGATATAGAGATTTGGGTTGTCATTGAATCAAAGGTCATTATTGTGTTTGCTACAACACTATGTGTAAGGCAGTGGACAATTCATCCTCTCTACAATTCATAGACAAATGATGTCGAATTCTAGGCTACCATTTGATATAGAACGATAAATGACAGTGCAGCAGAATTGAAAACTAGTTTCTTTGGGTAAAAATACTTTACATGATAGAAATGTATATTGAGACATTATGTTATGCATAACTTACTGCATATTTTGTATTGATGGCCTGGGACTTATTGTTTTGTCAGAATAATCAAGCTAGTTGTGCAATTGTAATTAAAATGTTAAAACTTGCAAAGTTTTATGAAAGCCACTTATGTAATCTTCCATTTAAAATTCTGTGACATTTCCAACAGGACGGCAAATCTTGGGTTACAGGCGCAAAAGGAAAGAAGGGACAGTGGAACGACCAAGACTGCTCCAACGGGTTTTCCTACATTTGCAAGGCTCCAAAATGATAAGAAATTCCATTACTTTTGCACCTTTTAAATACAATTTTATCATTAAATCAAAGAGCAATTGAAGATGGCAATGTATATAATTAAATTGCATCGAGTTTTACAAAACATTTGATTGAAGAAACAGAAAAAGAAGTCGACAGTTTTGGACCAAATGAAGCATACCCGTAGTTGTTGTGTATGCCAATGCAATATAGTACATTGGCACAAGAGAGTTGACACTGTAAGTTAATTCCCAGCTCTCACTTTGAGGTTCCCACTATTGAGACTTGTGATCCCATGTAGCAAGCAGAAATATAATGTTCTATTTGTCTTTGTGAAAAAAAAATTTTTTTAGTAACTTCAAATTTGTATGATCACCTAACCAATGATTGTAATAACCATGTCCAACAGTAGTCAAATTTAGAGGAAACTGAATTTATGATGCTTGTGAAAACATGTATCTATTACACAAGTCTAACTTCATCCTTATTTTGTGAGGGAATTAAGTAACACCGATGTGTAGTCTTAAGCTTTAAATAACATTAGCATTAAGAAGTGTCACAGTGTAAGAAAAGCACAACTGTCAAAATATTTCAGCTGATAGGCAAGAAGTGATTCAATATTTAAATCCTTAG